AGGGGCAGGCACATCTTCTGTTGTCAAAGGTATAAAAAATGTCTTGTGCAAATGAATAATCAACCTTTTTCAAGCGGAAAGACGCAAATAAAATTTGTGATTTTGGGCAATTTTTCTAAGGGCTCCCTAGGGTACTATGGGGGGCCTAGGTGGTCGGGGATGATATTTTTGTCAATGGCGGTTCATAAACCGTGTTCGCACGGATTCGTAAAGGTGTTCTCAAAATTACTGAATATATTTTAACTACGGCCCAATATAAATTTTTCTTTCTTTCCGGGCTCTTTGAAAAATGGAAAATTATGTTTTAAATCAATATTAAGGTTTTTCGCGACAAATATCCAATTTTCTTCAAAATACGCTGCTTTGTATTGCTGTCAAGAAAAAATATGAAATAATGTGAAAAGTTTTAAATTGAAAATTTATATGTTTCATACATAAATGGAAAATTCCCACATGTTGCCGATTTGCAAAAATCGTACTAAAAAATACATCACTACGATTTAGCAGTAATTAGCTTTTCTCTTATAATCGCCATTTTCGATGCCTCAGTCGCAAATGTCAAGTCGTCGTTACCGTCAGCATTTCGAATTGATTTTGGTTAATAGTACTCGGTATTCGTGTATTTCTTGGAAATTAAGTAAAAAAACACAGAATATTAATCATCTCGTCGAAGGCTAAATGCGAAAAAAATATTAAAAACATAATTACTATTTTTAGTAATTTGATAAATTAAACGGATAAATGGTCGAAAACTTGAAAATATTGATTGGTATTAAAAAAAGAAAGAGTGCGAATGGAAAGTGGAGCAAAAGTGTACCATATGCATGTGTGTGCACACTTCTCATACATATGTATGCGAAGAGATTGTGTGTATGGATAAGTAGATGCGTGAAGTGTGGATTACTCTTTATGTGTGTCGGAAGCAAAGTATTAAAAAAGGAGGCATGAAGAAAACGGAAGAAATACCTAAGTGAATTGTGCGAAAGTGTATACAACTAGATACCGAGCTAATCTGCATGAAAATGGCTATAAGTTCTCTATTAACATTTTTGTACGATAGTATTCACATAGTATGTTAAGTTAAATAGCACTTTGGATGATTCAATATGCTTTGCTTTGCATTAATACTAGCCATCCTGGAATAATAAGAGAAATTTTTAGCGTGTTTAAGTATACATATGTATGTATGTAGGTAGGTACAGGTGAGAGCACTGATCCGAGGGTAAAATAAATCTAGAAAACATACACTGGGCGAAGTAAAACATACAATATAAAAGCAGTCTTCAGATAAAAGAGAAGAAAGTGTCGAAGTAGTAGGAGCGACAGTAAACCTTGAGAGAAGCTTGACAAAAGGAGAATAAATTCTTGCCATTTTAGTGCTGGTAGTTGTCTTCTATTGCACTAGTTGCTGCAACTGCTACCGCTGCTGTAGCTGTCTCTGTCGTCAATTTAATTTTGGCTCAGTCAATACTGCTATCTAGGCCACCCCCGCGAAAGACGCTTCAACTACGTTCACGCCTTTACATACGCCAACGTTTCGGCTAGACCCGTCTTGTTGCTAATTTGCGTCTATACCATACATACATACCAGATACGAACTAATGTAATAAAAAACCCTATTATGGTTATGCATATTCAAGATTAAAACGTACCTAATAATTGCATGTAAGAGAGGAAAAGGACATACACACATTTTAAAATGCCTTAAATATGTCTATTTCAGTAGTGACATCTCGCTAATTGACTGCGTTTCCTTAATCTGTTGAAAGACATTAGGGGTCTTCATCAAAAGTAATAGATTCTTGATAAACTTGATTAAGTGATAAATTTATCATTTTGATAAATGAACTGTCAAACTTGTATGGTAATCCATTTAACCAAAGTTTATCACTTTATCAAACGATTTTGGCGGATAAACCCATTAATTTCAGCAAAATTCCATAGCCACATTCTCTAATCTTCAAGCGTTAGAGAACGAATCGAAAAACTATCGAGAATCATAGCGATCTCAACAAAAATGGGACATAGTTCTCGACTCGAGAAAATGTTAACTCTCTGATCGAATTGTATTGTTGATCTCTTAAGGCTGGTTTTCACTATGTCAAATTCAGTGGCCCTTGTCTTCAAATAAGTGAAAACACGTTGTCAAATTGGATTAAAAAGCGGTTTATCGATTAATTTTGATCCGGATAGTTCTTTAGTCGTGTTATTGCGCTGCTAAATCGGCTATCTGTCAGTTTTTGTCCCATAATATCATCGGTAAAGGTATAGATAAAGGAGATAAAGCTGTGTCAAAATATGTCGCCACATTTTGGCGTCAAAATATGACATAGTGAAAACCAGTCTTAATGGGATTTCAATGTGAATTTCAAACTGCTGTTTTACTTTAGTAAATAAAACGTTTTGTTTGTATTAAATGTATTCGCAATATATTCACGTAAAGTGCAATTTTACCTTACAAAGAAGCTAGAAAATGCTTGGTTTTTTTTTTTAAGGAATTGACACATTACTTATCTATCTATGGTAAAAAATATCTATCACTCTTGTATAAGTTCCGAGGACATAGTTATAAATCACGATTGTTCCTATTATGGAGTAAAATGTCCTACCAGTCACAATGGAATAGCAAGACGGTCCCGGATCAAGTGTTTGAAATATTTATTTAATTACAAAAATGTAATGAAATTTCTAAAAACGCTGACGTCGGGTAGGTACAAAATTTTTTGGGAGATGTAAAAAGCGCGTAAAACGGGGCAACTCTGTAATGCGATACGACAGAAAAATGCGATGCGATAGGCAATCACCCATGTATATTACTTACGATGTGTTTGCGCGAATGCGAATCATTTGTTTTCGCATCCCATTACAGAGTAGCCCCCCAGGTTCTGGTGTAAATTTAAAATTGAGTACTCACATTGGTGCACGCAAAATGAAGTTGACATCGTATGGTTATATATTTATTTTTAAAAATGTCTATTCAAAATAGTTTGATCTATAAGAGAAATAACATAAATAAAATTTTCAAGGCTTGCCCAAGGTAAAAAAAAACTAAATTATTATTAATTTTTCAAAAATTTTATTCAGGATTTGTATAAGGTTTTCGTATGCAATATAATAAAGTGCAAGGGTGGGGGTTAGTAGCGCTCCCAACTATTTCGGGCTATTCCGTCCAAAGCGGTGGCCGATCCATAAATATTCCACACACTTGTAGTCAAGGGTCTACACATTATTTTAACACCCACTTTTGTAATTTTTGGTCACTAATTTATTTACAAGTTACGCTGTGCAAGTTGTAAATTCTGAACAAAGATTTTGAAAGTTGAACTCAATTGGGACGTTCTAAATTCAATGGCATCCCCCGGATCCGGTTTTCGAGATACTGGTACCTGATAATTTGATTAAACTGTAACTATTTTATAAATAATTCCCCAGTTTTGAAGTTATTTTACTAAAATTTTGCGCATAACGGTTGCCTTAATTATTCCTTAAAATTATCGAAATAGGTTAACTTTAACATACAATGGCGGCAGAAATATATGACTCGTCGTACTTTTAGGAATTTTGGCTATATTTTTCAGTTTATTTTAAGTCGTAATATTCTTGTTGTAAGTTATTATACAATAATATGAATAAATCCTCTTTTTAAACTTTGAACAAAAATTATAAAAATTCTAAAAATTTTCACCAAATTTTCAAACTTTTTATTCAGAATTTTTCGAAAAATTTTTGGTATGCAGTTTTGTAGCCCATTTAAAGAGTTACACACTTTTCGTTACTTGCCATTTCGTTGTTTTTAAAAGCACACTTTAGTTACCAACTTCATATCGTCGTATAAAGTACAAAACCGCGTATCAACAAAATGCAAAACCGCGTATGTGAGGTTGTATAAATTATTTTCTAGAGTGTAAAAACACTCATATTTCAAAATGGTTCTATTTTTTATGAAGCAATCACATATCTGGCCAGTATATTTCAGGACGAATGGATAAGGGATGAGCCAAGAGCTTGTGTGTGCAAATCCAATTTTTGGTAGAAAATGTCAGTTACGCGGTTTTGCAAAATGACGATACACAGTTTTTTAGTTTAAACGATGATATGAAGTGTACACGTAAGTAACTAATTGCACATAAAATTTCAAACCAGTATATGGTGCGCTTCAAAAGTTATGACATAATTAATTTACCACCTCTTAAAAATTACATAAAAAATTCACTTGTTTTTAATGTTTTTTTGAATTAAAACATCTTTAACCCAAAAGTTGTGCAACAAATTAATTAAATATTTTTTTGAGGCTTCAAGTGTACGTATATGAATTATATCCAAAAGCAACCAGCTTGATATTGTTTACAACAATGAAAATAAAGCTAAATAACCCAAAGGTTACCTGTTTTTTAGATTTGCCCACATACATATCGATGGCTGAGTGGAAGATCGACTTATCTCGGCAGCCAGTTCGAAAATGCCCTATCTCAGAAAACTTTTCAACAACGCCCTATTTCAGAATTTGGTTGAAGAACGCCCCATCTTAAAAATATATTATAGCTACATATAAGAGCCCAGCTGTGCATACTTGCGCTGATATACCATTTTTACGTAAAAATCAAAACCCAACAGAACTTTACATGTTAAGTGCTATGCGTTGGGTAATAGATTCTTATGTGACAACTCTCATGCAAAGTTAAGTATGCATAACTCGGCTATTAGACTTCATTTACGTGTTCTTATTGAGGCTATTCTTCTGTCAAATAATCTCTACTACCGTTCGATGGGATACTAGAATGTAGGCTCCCAGTCGGCTCTCAAAATTAGTGGAGGTCGGCCGCTGTATGGCGTTTTTTTGTATTACTTGCGCATAAAAGAGACAACAGTCATAGCAGAGTCAACTTCTCTCCATCGTTGCTTCGTACAGACAATTGCAATTTTTCATTTTTTTCTTACGAATGCACCTATACATATTTCAAAGAATCCAATATTCTTCGATAAGTATCAGGTACGACAGACAACTATGTATTTTTCGAGGCAACATAAAAAAATTAGTCGGTTTTAGCTAATTCAGTACTGTTGTAGGTGGAATATCATAAAAAATAACCAAAATTGATATTTAGTTTAATGAGAAAAATTGCAACCCTGTAATTTTTGTTGTTGTCTCTCTCATCTTCGATTCGGTTCATTTCCATTCCGATGTAGAAATAGAAGCAAAAGCAAAAAATGCAAAATTTCCATTGTGTGTAGACGACGGCTTTGCCGCACTTGTATGTCGTTCATTCGTTGGTTAACATTTTTTCTGGTTCGTTGTCGCAGTGGTCTATAATCATTTTAGTGAGAAAGAAATTTCGGTTAAATAATTTCTGTGAGCTAGTGAAAATTTTTTGAAATATGTATATAATAATACACACATATATGTACATCTATCATATAATTTTAGTGCGTGCGCTAACAGATTTTTAAAATATTGGTAAAAAAATAGTTACATTATTTACATATGTACATATTTCAAATTATAATAACATTATTTTGATTTTTCGTTTGCTAAATATCAGTTTAGGTACTTCCGTATTATAGTATACGATTTCGTTATACGAAAAAGTTTCAAGTCTTCAGCAACTCTGGAGAAATATGTATGTTTGTGTGTACATATGTATAGATTCCACGTTCCTATTCACAAGCCTTGTATGTATGAACATGTGTATACGCACTTATTCATTACTACAAAAGGGGGGAAACAAAAGTGCACATCTGTTCATTAGATGCATTAACAATATAAAGAATTGCAAATATTTTTGTAATTTAGTGAAAGTATTATGTGAATGAAGAGTGTCATGAAAATATGTATTTTAATCAATGCTGTTTATTTACTAGGTCTTATTAGAGGAAATATATCAAAAAATTCAAAAAGAAAAATTTAAATTTAAATAAAATTCATCGAATTGAGTGCAATGTAATTGATGAAAAACGTATACGTAAAAAATATGAGCAAGCAGTGGAAAATTTAGTAAACCACATACAACCCGTGGTACATACCAACCTACCTATGTATTATTTTATACTTTGTCTATATCAATACCAACGATTAACGAAAAGCCAGCAGAAAACGGTGAACCACAAGCAAAGCAACCAGTCATTCAGCCATCGACCATCGACTTTCATCGCGATTCGCTCTCCTCTCAATATGTTGCGACGCAACAAAGCAACACAAATCTGAGGGGTATCGGTATTAGCAGTGACTGCCGTGTCGAAAGCAGTGGTGTTAGTGCTACCCTTCACCAGCAGCGAAAAGGAAAACAGAAACAATTATATACTTATAAAATTGTGTTCATACTAGTGCTCGCCGCTGTTCTTTCTATCTATCGCAACGCCAGCGGTACTCGCACCGTTCGGTCTTCTCGCTTGCGGGCTGTTAGCTCGTTCGCACGCGTGCAGTCAGTATTCCGCTCCGTAGTGGTGTTTATCGGTGTCGGTGGTGTTGCTGCATGAGTCGTCTTCGGCAGTGGCAAAACTCGTGCAAAAACTGCGAAGAGCAAAAATTTCATTGTCGGTGTTTGCCGTATGTATGTACATATGTATGTGTTGGTGAGAAATCGTAGCCGCAGTAGTCGATCGCAGTCAGAATTGTTAGTGCTGTCAATGCACTAAATGCACTGGTGTTGGTTAAACTGAGGTTGGTAGGTAATTTCGAAATTGATTTACTTGAATTCGAATGTTAATTCGAATCGGAATGCTACTCAGTATAATGCAATTGTGAATAAAGATGAATGAGCAGAAGTGAAATAAATGAATAAAAAACCAAAGATGTTTAACGAAAAACAGATAATAATGGGAAACAATGAGTAAATAACCACCTATTTTTATATAGGAACATATGTATGTATGCACATAATTTGGCTAGTGAAAATACATACGTATAAGCGTAAAGAGAAAAGGCTGTAGTGATAAAAACATAATCGGCAGTATCAGGGGATTTCCTCAGTTTTACTTGTGCGTCAGCTATGTGTATATTGTTTTTTGAACCTTCGCTTTTCATGCCATTCACGGCAACAGATTAAAGCAAAACCGAAAGGTATATATGTATGTACGACATAATATCGCGTTATATTTAACAATAACAGAAGCGGTCAATGACGTAGCCGCAGAAAAAAACAATTAAAAAATAAAATCGCGAAGCTTAGCCTTCCTCGTCGTGACTGGTGCGTTGTAGTGACCAATTGCAAAATATTGCTTGAGACGCAACTTGTTTATTTAAAATCGTTATTGTGAAAATGAGGAGCTGTTGTGCAAAAAAAATATATGAACTATGACGCATCAAAATCATCAGACTAACGGCGCTAGTTTGGAGGATTGCCACACAAATTTCTTTGCCCTGGTAAGTAGTACTTTGTGTTTGACTATAGATTAAATTAATAGGTCCACTGAACATATCGATCTGTTACTAAAAAGCGAAATACCACACAAGCGGCTTGCCAAACATATGTACTGCAAACCTGCTTTTCCCATATCGCCATACACTACACAAGCATCATGAACGAACTAACAAGATCACGCAATCGGAAAAGAATGAAAAAAGTAAATTTCTGAGCGTTTTTGACGTGTGCCTAAGAATGAAAACAAGCAAAGAAAACGAAAAAGGCGCGGTGATTGAGTGCGATTAAATTGGTATTTATTGTAAAATATACGAAGTGAAACTTGATGACAATTAGCAAAAAAAGTTCTTAAAATATGGTTTTCATGATGGATTTTACAAACGCAACTCATCATTACCACGGGTCGATTTTTCAATGCCAACGTTCTGGCCACAAACGTGCACCCACTTTTCACGAAAATTTGGGCCTTTTGCCAGACCAAACAAACGCACAAACTTGTTCCAATCACAAAGCACTTCATTTCATATCATAAATTTATAATAAATCAAAATTAAAATGAAAATTGCTGATATTGCATTCCGAAGCCATAGAAGACGATGTAAACAAAAGGGAAAAACAAAAAACGCTACGAAAACTTTTTTATGAAATTCGATTACAAATACAACGATGGCGGATTGCGTGATCTGTAATCGTTTTGATTTGATTTTCTTCCATTTTTTTTCATACGGCCTCACTCGTTAAATTTCCGTTGCGAATAAGGCGATATCCAACCGAAAGTATCGATATAGTACTCATTTGAAATATCGCCGTACAAGTATCGGGTACCCATTAATATCGCGATAGAAAGGCTCGATATTCCAAATATCGATGCCAAATTCAAGAAATTAACAGCCTTATACCATTTTCCCACGACATCCAGAATTACTTTGTTCGCTCCCCCAATTACGATCGCGAATTACCCCATTCCCACGGGCGCATTCTTAATTTGATTGGGAAAATTTTAGTAGACGGACGGCAATTTCTAGAAAAAGGGGGGGATGAGGGGGGTAGAATAGGACCCCCTGATTTCAAAAATACCCCCCTTTTTTTCTAGAAACCCTATGGTTCTTATATAATTTGTTGTTAAAGTTTTGGTATAAACGATGAATAAGTTAGCAAAATAACATTNATGAAAACAAGCAAAGAAAACGAAAAAGGCGCGGTGATTGAGTGCGATTAAATTGGTATTTATTGTAAAATATACGAAGTGAAACTTGATGACAATTAGCAAAAAAAGTTCTTAAAATATGGTTTTCATGATGGATTTTACAAACGCAACTCATCATTACCACGGGTCGATTTTTCAATGCCAACGTTCTGGCCACAAACGTGCACCCACTTTTCACGAAAATTTGGGCCTTTTGCCAGACCAAACAAACGCACAAACTTGTTCCAATCACAAAGCACTTCATTTCATATCATAAATTTATAATAAATCAAAATTAAAATGAAAATTGCTGATATTGCATTCCGAAGCCATAGAAGACGATGTAAACAAAAGGGAAAAACAAAAAACGCTACGAAAACTTTTTTATGAAATTCGATTACAAATACAACGATGGCGGATTGCGTGATCTGTAATCGTTTTGATTTGATTTTCTTCCATTTTTTTTCATACGGCCTCACTCGTTAAATTTCCGTTGCGAATAAGGCGATATCCAACCGAAAGTATCGATATAGTACTCATTTGAAATATCGCCGTACAAGTATCGGGTACCCATTAATATCGCGATAGAAAGGCTCGATATTCCAAATATCGATGCCAAATTCAAGAAATTAACAGCCTTATACCATTTTCCCACGACATCCAGAATTACTTTGTTCGCTCCCCCAATTACGATCGCGAATTACCCCATTCCCACGGGCGCATTCTTAATTTGATTGGGAAAATTTTAGTAGACGGACGGCAATTTCTAGAAAAAGGGGGGGATGAGGGGGGTAGAATAGGACCCCCTGATTTCAAAAATACCCCCCTTTTTTTCTAGAAACCCTATGGTTCTTATATAATTTGTTGTTAAAGTTTTGGTATAAACGATGAATAAGTTAGCAAAATAACATTAAACTTGGTGCTGCCAGACTGGAATTTTGAATAATAAAAGCGGATTTTTAATTCGGAATTTTCACTTAGTAGAATTCTCCCTTCTGCTAGGAATGCTCGATATCCTATCGATTTTGCTGAATATCGATATTTCATGGCACGATAATCGATTTTTTGAAGCGTTATTTCAATGACGATATAATGAAGACATCGATACTTTACCCGCAATATCGATATTTAAGTTGAAATTTATTTTTGATCTACAAAAAAGTGTGGGAAAATACTAAAGTAGATTTAATCAACAGCTTGTGTGATTTATTTAGCTGTTAGATTTGACAAACCGCTTGAGTCGACCAGCATGCCGTTTTAATCCTCAGTAAATATACAAGATGGAAATAACACAATTTGTTGAGTTCATAACCAGGTCTAATATTCTATTCAATTGGGAGTAGGATTCTCAACACCGATTTTTCCGATATCGATATTGTTCAGCCCGATATATCACCATATCGATTTTACATGCACTGAATTAAATCGGTTCATGATATCGATACTTTCTTAAATATCGAACATTCTTACTTTCTGGGTAGGCGGTCTTCGGCCGCGCTTTAAGCTGATGCCACAAAACTTTTGCTTCGCTTTACGTGACAGATTCGCTTTGACAGATAAGATGAATTGTGTGAAAATGCACAAAGCATGCCACATAAATCGTTGAAGCTGCAGCGCGAAGCGAAAAGATGGTTAACTCCCATCTTTTTGCGCGCTTTGACAATCAGCCGGTTTAATATTTTTTTTGTTTCCCCAAATTAGAGTTTTCATGCAGAAACATAAAACTTATTTACATTGCTAATAATTTTAAAGCAAAATATATAAAATCTACAGCAATTTTGACGAGTAAAAAAGCAGTACAAAATTGTTTTCTTGCCGTTCATTTTGGCATACCTTTTGCGTCTGGCGCTTTGCTGGCAAAGTTATAAATGTCACGCAAAACTACAAAATTTTATCTGGCATCAGCTTTAGAATTATAACCCTTACCAAAAAGAATTCTCCTTTTGGTGTGCACTAACTGGGTCTATCGCCCCAGTGATGTAGTCCTGGAAAATGATAAGGTAACTAGAATTCCCTTTCTGTGTGGTAAACCTAGGGCTGCCGCACCAGTGATGTCTATTATGGTTATGATCAGGACTAAGACCCCTATCGATCCCAATATAAATTTTTCCAATCAGAGAAATGTACGTATTAAGCATTGCCTTCTTTGTATGTACTGTTTTGTATAATATGGCAACACATGTTATGTGTCAGTTTGCAACGATGTGTTATGGGTGCAATTCAATAGGGGTATTCTCTGAGTCTTGCAAAGCCCTTGCACGGTGCACGGATTGCACGGTGCACGGATTGCACGGTTTGCAAAGCTGTCCCATACGAAAACCGGTTTTTACCGTGCAATCCGTGCAATCTATGCACCATGCAAGGACCTTGCAAGACTCGGAGAATACCCCTAATGTAATTTAGAAGTCAATAAAAGTTGAACTTGATTTATATACAAGATAAAATAAAATAAAAGTGTGTAAAGTATTAAGTACAGTGTTATGTGCATTAATATATATGAAAGTATGTGACAAATGCACTTTTTGTTAAGGAAATCAAGTGGAACGACTTGAGAAATTTTAACAACAAATAACTTTTAAACAATGATATTGTTTATATTTTTTAGGTATACATGTTTTAGAGGATTCCACCCTTATCATCCTGACCAAGTTTCATTTGTTAATTCCAGGTGGTTTTCTTAAAACACAAGGTGCGGCTGACTACTAAAGCCCACCCATTTGATACGACAGTTATATGTCTGTGTTTTGGTTTTGTTTTTCTTCGCTGCAAAATTGTTGCAAAACGTAGGTTCTTCGTAAAAATTATACGGCTTTCCCACGGCACCCCAATTACGTAATTCGCTCTCTCATTCGTAATTCGCACTCCATTTCAGTGATGCCAGATTGTGGGTAATTTCCCTATTTGAGGGATATTT